CCAAATCTTTGCTTAAAAAAACATTAAAAAACATTTTTTTTTTTTTTTTTTTTTGTATCAAAAGATATATTCTGCTAGGGAAATGCACCATATAATGCAACGGAACCCTTTCAACTCAAGTTTTCTAAATTTTGATCATTGGTAAGTAACTATATGAAACCTGTAAAGCAGTGTTTGTATACAAAAAGCATTATAACTGGCTTCAAAACAAAAAAATAATGAAGTTGCTGAATTCTTCTTTATTTTCAGCATAAACAGAGCAACACAGAACCTGCAGTCAGATTCTCTGCGAAACATACACTGGAGCCATTAGCAAGCCATTATTTTGGCAGAAGCTGCTTCCTTTCGGGGGACTACAGCCTTAAAACCAACACCCCCCACAAAAAAAAAAAATCCTTAATCCCACCCAAAAACCAAAAAAGAAACAGCTCTGGATTTCTCCCAAGTTCAGAACTTGAGACTCCACTGGAGGCTATGTTATCCACATACAGAAAGAATACACATACAGCTGAAGACCTATAAAAGTAGTAAGTGGTATCAAATTATTTTTCTAGCTGTCACTGCAATAATACTGAGCTCTTAAGTAACACCCCTCTGCCCTGTAAATGTATATGAGGGCAAAGAATGACAATAGGATATATTAGCATAGCATCTGATGTTTAAAATCACTTTGATGCTGTCTACTCTGATATTTTCTTGATAATGATGCTCAGAAACAGACAAATGCAAGATACAACTTTTATTTGGGCCTTTCTACACAAATTTACCTTTGCTCCTTCAGTGTACAGAACTTTTTAAAATAAAATAAAAAACCCCAACAACTTACCAGCTCTTTTATTCTCTTTCGGTGTCTGCTGTGTGGATTGTTCAAGTGACTGGTGAGGTCAAATATGGTTGGCACAGCATTATCTCGTAAAACTGTTCTGTAAGGACTCTACATGGAAAGAAAGATTTAGATCAGACATTTCTTTGAAAGGTTCTTTCGGCCCGAGCGCAATAAATGAAAAACTCATAAGTTTCAGCGTTGGGGCTTATTTTTTTTTTTTTTTTTACCATATGCACACTTTATACTTAACTTGGACAGAGCCTAGGATAGTTAGTTTCCAGGTATTTTCATTTTGATTTTTATGAATAAGTAAAATGTTGTGTAGTTTGCATTTCAGGCACAACCAGTAAAAATTTAAACAAGAGACCAATCACTGTCATAGCCATTTATTATATAAAGCACTGAACTGTATTTTCTGTTTAGATTACACCAACTCCCTCCCCATTACAGTGTAGCATTTAATTTAATATTGTGTATTTAAAATGTTTTATTAATGTTACATTAGGGTACTCTTATGCAGAAATATTCTGCCACTAACATGCTTCTTGCCTCATTTTTACTACGGATGAGTAAAGATTTCCTTCATGAGGAAAATTCAACTAAAATTCAACTCCTTGATCCAAAAAAAGGGATATTCTCTGTTACTGACTGCTGTGAAAAAGATCATACCAAAAAGAACATTAATTTTAATTCCCAAACAAAAAGCAAGCAAAGCCTTCCAGATATTCCTGCTATACAAATAGCTCTACCAATTGGCCAGAAAATTGACAGAAAGGGTTTCTACATGGAATATTTTTCTAGCCTTACTTCTCTATGATTTTCCAAGTTTTGCAGGAGTTATTTCAATATTAAGTAGAGTATTATATAGGAGAAACAGTGGAAATGGAAGTCAATTAAGCTGGTTATGTTCTGTTAGTAACTAGATACAACTGATCATCTGTCAATGTGCCATAATTAAAAACCACTTCATGTCCATCTGGATTTCATGGAAAGCCATTCTGAATTTAGTCAGCCCCTAGGAGCACGCTCTCTCTCATATACTGGCTCTTCTAAACCCCACATCGTAAATTCTGCACTATATGGGTGAAGGGCTAGTGATGTATATTCATTAGATAGCAGATTTTTCCCCACTAATTATAGTCTGTGTAAAACCAAGATTCTCCTTTTCCATTGTGTTGGGTGGGATCAGCCAAAATATCACCAGCTTGCTTCAGATGCTAGAACATGTTACCCATTTCATACCTGCTCTCTCCAGTACACAATACAATTTTACTAAAAGTGAAAAAAATAATTTAGTTATGTTTATAAAACGGACAATTATTTCCTTTTACTTACACTTCTACATATCATAGAGGTCTCAAAGTGTTTAGCACATAGTCTGTAGTGCTTGTTCAACTGATCTGGTGTTTTATCTTCTAAATCTGCTCTTCGACAGTTCTCCACCCACCTCTGACATCTGCATACAAAAACAAAAATTAGCTCATCAAATATTTTAAAACAAACTAAAATCATCTATTATTTCTGGCTTGGTTGCCACAAATAGCTTTTTTCATTAGCGTCTGCATTCAACTTTTAATCACTTTCAGGGTGCTGGATGGGATATTCTTCATCTTTCAATGAATAGGGGAAAAGAATTAGGCAAAAATAGGATCCCAATGAAGGTATTTTAAACTCTTTTTAAGAACTACTCTTCTGGTCTTACTCTGAGTACGAGCCCCTTATAAGTTCACTATTGCACCTTTTCTTCCTTATCAGTACTGCTTCATCTGAATGACATAAGCACAATAATCTTTTGGGCAGCTGCTCACAAGTGCCAACTTGCTGGCATTTTATTCTTGAAAGAAGCTGGTTTGATAAATTAGTTAACTCTCTTGGAAAACCTGACAAGTAGATTTTTAAACACACAAATCACAACTTTCAATAATTTTTATTTATTATTATTGCCAGCCCTGATTTTGAAGTCAATCTTCAAACAATAAAATACAATATTTCAACAGCTGGTCTATAAAAATGGATCAGGAGGCCAAAGTACTATATAGGTCTGAAATAAGTCTTCAATAAGCACATGCTATGTACATTGCACAACATTTGTTTTTGTTCCATCTCCAAAACCCCCCAAAAAGCTACTCACTTGATTTCTGTACTCACATCACAGGGCCTGGGAAAAAGTCTCATTATTAATAAGACCTCTATTACATCTGCAAGGCAATGCTTCCTCTTGTGGATATGGCACAATTGATTAATTGGCTTTCCATTTCTCTCAATGGATCCATTTAATCAAGTCTTTGCCAAGAAATTTGGAACTGGCACACACATAAGACTGCCTTTGCAAAATTACCATAACAAAGGTCATCTGCTATTTAAAAGTATGCATATCCACCAGAAAAAGATTAAATCAACGTGTTTTTGGCAGGCATTAATATCTATATTTAAAAGACTTCTTTACTTGCAAACCCAGCCTCAACTGGATAGAGGGTGTCCTCACCCCAGTCTTAAAGCCATAAGGTTCAGGCATTCGTGGACAGTGGGAATTGTGGGCCTGAACTCACTATTCCTCAACTCTTGCCTCGGTCCAAGTTTCGAGTCCTGGCTCGTGTCCTGGACCCTGCTCTCAGCCTTGTCCTCAGCTCCTGCTCTATTACTTTTACCTCTGTTCCAATTCATGCCTTGAACTCTGGCCACAGCCCTGTCTTCAACCTAATTCTCTGTTCTGGCTATTTCTTTGAACCTCCTGGCTCCTGACTTCTAGCGTAGCGTTTGACTAAAGTGTCTATTGCTGGGCGGTCAGCTCGATTCCTGACACTGTCTCTTGACCCAGCTCTGCAGGCTCATGAGCTGGCCCTAAACACAGGGCAGACCACTCACAATCTGGTTTATAACATTTAAGTGCAGGAACCCCCAGACTGTGGATCCCAATTGGGCCCAGGGTACGGGCAAACTATTTATCAATAGGAAAAAGTGGGAAAGGTTTTACTGTGTCAGCTGCTCTGGTTGTCGGTGTGTTTGCATATTCTTACTCTAGCGTAAGTGGATGCTAAACATGAGAAACACTCATATCTTTGATCGGGGCTAAATTACCATGGTTTAGCCTTCACTTAACAAGCAGTTACTGCAGAGCAAAAGCCCCTTTCAATTTGCAGCAAACTGTTTGCATATCTGTATATGTAGGTGTGCTATGAGCTGCGCTGCTTAGCTCTGCCAAATGGCAGAAGTTCTGGGCACAGAGAATCAGCACCCCTGGCACCTAGGGAACTTGATTAGTAAAAACTCAGGCAGGAACAGCCTTGGTACCAAAGGGGTTGGGCACAGTATCATTCCACCAAACCTCTTGGACTTGACATCTGTCCCCTTTTGTGGACCTAGGCCTTGCCACCTCCATCAGCCCATGTAAGCAGTGCGAGGCAGTCTGTTGTATGTGCAGTCAAAAGAACTGGATGAGACCCATACAATCACTTTTGAATCATATCCAAGAGGATTTAAAGCGTTATTTCTTGGGTTCAAACCTTCTTGTGGAAAGTAGAAAGGCTTAGATTGTTCTTATCTGTGAGCAAGCCACGCTAACAAGTTTACTGTAAAAATGGATTTTTATAAACCAAGACTGCCAGTAAGTACCTAATCAATGACTAGGGAGGCTTCAAAAAGTACAAGACTCTTTCAAGTTCAGCCAGACGCAACCATTAACTTAGTAGAGAAAGATGCCAACACATGTGGTTCTCCATCCAGGAAGAGCACACACCAACTGCTGCAGCTTCCTGAGCCTGACGAAGGGTTTTTGAACCCGAAAGCTTGCTTAATAACTATTCTCCAACCATTTGGGTTGGTCTAATAAAAGATATCAAATTCACCCAAGGAACCTTGTCTGCCTATATCCTTAGACCAACACGGCTACAACCTAAACCCCTGCATGTGGTTCAATGGCATTCATAAGGAAAATAAATGTGTCCGCTGGTACGTCTATGGTCAGGTAGAACTGTTTTCCAAGTTCTTTACCAACAAAATATTTGGCACAGACAAGACCTGCTTGGGTTTTCTCTGCTCCCTCATTTGCCATTCTTATAACCTGAGGAGCTTTTCTTCAGTCACAAACATTAACAAGTCAGTAGTTCTTCAGAAATAACACATCTCATGGAAGTGTAAAGGACCATTTTGTTTAAGGGGGAAAAACAATTCCCCCTTAATGTGAAAATCATTTGTCTTCTTTTACTATTAAAAACCTGCATTAGAGTAAGACCTTTATTGT